AACTCTTCCAGGCCCTTGTTTCTTGGACTCTGCAGGCCTGTGGTTCAGCCCCCTTACAGGTGGCCCGTGGTGGAGAGACTGATACTTCCCGCTCCACCAACCCACTGCCCCCTTCCCTCAGTTTCTCTGCACTACCCCACACCTCACCATGTCCACAAGGGCCACATAGAGGAAGACCCCAGCAGTGACCCCAAACACCCAGGGAGTGAGGGGGACAGGGCCCAAACTGAGCCCCACCCCCAGGCCTGCACCCCCCAGTCCTAGGGCTCCAGACACCAGGCTCAGCAGCAGTAACCGCCGAAAGGGCAGCCCTGCCCGGAGCAGCATTGCAAAGTCACCTGTTGGGAAGAGAGGACAGGGTAGGAGGGAATAAGCCAGGGCTGCCCCTCACCAATGTCACCCACCAGCCCCCAAGTTCCACCCCAACTCCACTTCTGTCATTCCTACCCAGTTCGTGGGGCAGCTCATGGCAGAACACTGCTAGGGTGGTGCTGAGGCCACTGGAGAAGCCATCAGAGAAGGCAGCACCTGGGGTTGACAGAACTGGCGGTGGGCAGTCTGGAAGAAAGCTCTCTCCAGGGGCAGGGGCCTACATTCCCTCTGTGGTCCTCTCATCTCCCCACTTCCTGGTAGCCCTCTCCTAGCCCCAGTCAATAACTAGGAACCTCCGACCTGCCTCCCTCCGTCCCCTCTGCTCACACCTATGGCCAGCCCATCAGTGAGGTTGTGCAGACCATCTCCTAGGAGGACCATCCATGTTATACTGGTGTCACTGCTACCCTGGTGCCCATGACTGTGGCCTTGGTGCCCAGCAGGGGCTGGGGCTGATGGGGGCTGGCTGTCCTGCTCCCTGCAGCCCTGAGCCCCTGGCTCTGCAGGAAGAAGGACAAGGACAGTGTTGGTGGCTGCAAGTGAGACTGGGAGCCTACTCTTCATTTTCTCCTCTAGTCACCTGGAGCTGCTGGTAGGGGCTGAAGTGCCATCCCACTGCCGTCCTCTGGGTCCAGGTCTGGTGTTCTGAGATCCTTTCTTTTTCGCCTGCAGCATCTCTAAAATAGGAGGGTATCCCTCCTGGTGGAGGAGACAGCAGCACTGGGGGCTAAGGAGAGGCCAGGCTACCGGCTGGGAAAATGAACACCTGGTTCTGTTTCTGGCACTTGGGGATGTTTTTTGGCCTCTACTCTCTTCCCAGGTTGGCACCTCCCTGTTGTTGACTTGAACTGGGGAGGAAGCTATTGGGCCAGAGTCCTGAGTCTATGCTGAGAGAGCCTACCCATTCCCTGTTAGCAGTCAGGGCCTGCAGTCAGGCAAACAGCAGAGCCAGGAGCACACTCATCCCCTCACCTCCTGGTTCATGTGGCCAGTTCTTGGCTAGGACTCTGGTCTTTGGCTGAGGAGGAAAAAGGGGTATCACTCACTGGCCTGAGTCCTTGGCGCCGCAAAATCCCTAGCATGTTCTCCAGCAAGAAGAGCAGGATGAGACCGCCAAGCACCGACAGCCCTGGACCCAGTTCTTCCTCTGGTTGCCCGCTAGGTCCAGAATGATGCCCTCCTTGTGCCTGACAGAGAGAAGGTCAGGGCAGACCCCAGAAACCCCTGCACCTGACACCACCCCCCTCCTGGGCACAAGGTGGCAAGTCTTATACATTCTACTAGAAGGCAGCTGTGGGCTGACGGGGAGGGGATGTCCTATGACTGGGAACACCTTGGATATGAGGGGGCTGTCCACCAATGGGGAATAAGAGTGCGGGGAAATAAGGAAGGGAATCCACGTACATGTGGCAGCAGGTGAAGCAGTGCATCCCCACAAAGGGTGCCCACAGCCAGGGCCCCCAGGAAGCCCAGCAGGGGCCGCAGTAGGCGAGATCCCAGGAGTCGAAGAAACAGCAGGGAGAGGGGAGCAGGGAGGCTCAGCAGTAGGACTGCCAGGGCACTATGAACCAGGGCTAGGAAGAATCGGGCTGAAGTTAGACCAGGTCAGGAGGGGGGACTCAGAGGCAAAGATACACTGAAAGGGGAGGCAGCACCCCAATCAACCCCCTTCCTTGGCTTGGAACTCACTCCCTACCAGGATTCAGGGTGCCCTACCACCCATTCTCACCCACTGACCAGATAGTAGATCCCCTGGGGGGGTTGGAACTGGGGCCTGGATGCAAACACGGCTGTCGATCTGATAAAGCAAGGCTGGGCACAGCAGAGCGAATTGATGAGGGGTCAGAGGAGCAGCAGGGCTCAGGCCAAAATTGACCAGCAGCTGGGAGCCATTCAGACACTAGGGGAGTTGAGTTGGGAGTCATACATTGAATTGTGACTTGGATCTGCCCTTCCATCAAATGGATTCCTGGGGCTCTCCCAGCAACCCCCCCCCCCCCCC